GGCTAGGAGCTGGAACCAACTTCCAAGGGAAGTGGTGCTGGCCCCTACCCTGGGGGTGTTTAAGAAGAGGCTGGATGCCTACCTGGCTGGACTCGTTTGAGTCCCATTTCTCTTTTTGGGGTTTTTTGTTGTTCTCCCGCCCTGGCGGGGGGTCGGCCTAGAAGATCTACTAGGTCCCTTCCGACCCTTAATCTATGAATCTATGAATCTATGAATCCTGCCATCTTTGTAACATTTCCAATGGATTGTTAAATTCTGATATATTTACTCTAGAGATATCAACAGGTAGGCAAATTTCCTATCCAAACAATATCATATATGGTGTATGTCATGTAGATGACTGCACACTGCTTTGATGGATCTTTATGACATAAGGGAGTATCTCATCCCACTCCATCTGACTGTCTGATCCAAGAGGATAGCATGTCAACCAGAGAATGGTTGAATTGTTCCAGATGGGGGTGATATGATGTGGTACAGGTTTTGTTGATTTCCTGAAGGTCACATACATGATGAAATAGTTGAGACTCAAAATTTCTTCCCTAGTCAGTGTATAGGGATTGAGGTACACCATGATAGCACACAGATTTCTCAACAATTGCCTTTGCCGCAGCCTGAACCTTCTGATCTCAGAGGGGGTATGCTTCTGCCCATTGGAAAAATAGTTAGCCACTACTAAAACATACTTGCTTCTATGTGGTGTAATAGGAAGGGGACCCAGGATGTCCATTGCTATCCTTTTCAGGGGTCATCCAGTCTGCATGGAGACTGTGGGGGCCCTGTGATTACTTTTCAGTCCTTTTCAGGCACCACACACCTTGCATGATCTGCACCAGTCCTTAACAGATTTTTCTCCAGCCTAACCAAAAGTACCAAGATTGGACCAAGACTGGACTTTACGAGCATGGCCAAATGTCCCGCAATATTGGAAACATGTAAAGCTTGCAGAATTTTTGGCATTTCCTTCTCTGGTACCACTATTTGAATAAGCTCAGTTCTTTGGGCAGATTGTGTAAGTTTTTGTACCAGTACTCCTTGCCTAATGCTCACCTCAAGCCATACTACCTGGTGCCTCTTGAGGTGCAGATGATATTGCCCTTCTTCAGGGAACTCTTCACTATTGATTTTCTTCTACTTTATTAGTTTTTTTAATGTCAGCATCTTCCTGTTGTTTTGTACGCCAGTCTGTCAACCTTCTGGATTTTCCTGTATTCAGAGTTTGTTCACCCTTGGCTGTCTTTAAAGCTGACAGTGGCTGAATCCCTACTGCTTCAGCTTTAGGTTCAACTTCCACTATGTGAGGCTTATGGGACAATGCATCAGCATTCTTGTGCCATCTCCCAGGGAGATGCACTATTTGGTATTCAAACTTAGCCAGCTGTTCTAACCATCTAGCCAGCTGTCCTTCAGGTTTTTGGAAATTGTATAGCCACTGGAGAGAATTGTGGTCTGCTCTTATGAAGTATCTCCGCAGAAGGAAGTGTGGAAAATATTTGGTAAAGGTTACTACAGCAAACAGTTCCTTTCTTGTAGTTGCCTATTGGCTCTCAACTTTGTTTAAGGCTTGGCATGCGTAGGACAGTACCTTTTTCTGGCCTCTTTCAACTTGTGACAAAATAGCTTTGAAGTCAACATCAGCACTGTACAGCACCTGCTGTATTTCTTGCATCGGTGTCCAACAAGAAGGATAACTGAGGGTCAGGATACTCTTAAGATAGGGGATGACATCAACTGTCACTTTAGCTCTATAAAGACATCTTGACATTCCCTGGTCCAGATGAAATTAATCTTAATGGAAAACTTATGTAAGGGACTTGCAATGGTAGCAAAATCTGCCACAAATCTTCCTTAATAGGAGGCTAACTCAAGAAGCTGCTCAGTTCTGTTCCATTTTGAGATACTAGCCAGACCTTAATAGTCTCTGCCTTCTCTGGATCTGGGCCTATTCCCCCCATGGAGATCACATGTTCCAAAAAGTTCACTTCCCTAGAGAAAGGCTGACATTTGGAAGGTTTAATTTTTAAGTTGGCTTCTTTCAGTCTCGTAAACACTACTTTCAGTTTCTGCAAGTGCTCCTTAGAGGTTTGGCTTATGACAATGACGTCATCCAGGTACACCAGAAAGGATGTCCCTTGTAAATCCACTAACACAGTATCCATCAGTCTCTTAAATGTACTAGGAACATTACATAAACCGAAAACTCAGACAGTCCCTTCTTAGTGCAGAAAGCTGTTGTAGCTATGTCCTCTGGGTACACTTCCACCTATCGGTCTACATTAGCTGGATCAAAGTTGAGAACCATCGAGCTTTGATCAGGAGGTATAGTATGTCATAAATTTGAGGTAAGGAATAGACATCCTTAACAGTAACAACATTCAGTCTATGATAATTCACGCAGACCCGCATACTTCTTCCTTTCTTCTGTATCAATGCCACAGACGCAGCCCACGGGCCAACATAGGGCCTGATGATACCTCTTTCCTTCATCTCTTGCAGCTGCTGATCAAACTCCTACTGGAAACAGATGGGTAATCTTTTAGGTCTCTGTTTGACAGGTTTGGCATTGTCAGTATTAATCCAGTGCTTTGTTAAGCCTGTATTCCTTTGTGAAGGAGCCACGGGAGATCAGAGAGAAGTGCCAGGAGTGGTGGTGTAACACCCCCTCTCTGACCTGACCATGGAGCCAATGAGCCATGCTTCACCGGAGATGTGGTGTTTTCAAAGCAGCTTCTCACTCCATAGTGGAGGGAAGGGGCAGTGCGGAGAAGATGACACTGGGCCCTGGTGAAGACTGGCTTTTGGTGCAGCCAGAAGATGGGAATAAGAGTCCTCCAGCAGGCAGGAGCTGAAGAGCCTGCAAGCAGATGGTGGGCAGAGGGCCATCCCTGAACACTGAAGAGTTGTCCTGTGAGAGTCTAGACAACCCTTGGAAGGGTTCAGACCCTGAGCAATACACACAGAACTGGACCAATCATAACGAGAACCGGAAACAGCCTCATTCTGGCCAGGTGAAGGTGTGATGGTGAGAAGAGACTACGTTAGTTTTCTGTGTATTTTTCTTTATTGTTAGCTGTACATTTGAGAGGAAGTACCCCTTTGTGACAGTACTGAGGACTTCAACCTAAGAAACTGGCAGGGATGAGGAGCCCAAAAAGAGGGCCAGTGTCAAAGGGGGAAGATGCAGAGAGACTGCAAGAGACTCAGGATTAGACACCATAGTGGCGGATAGCTGAGGATTGGTTTTTTTTTATCCCTTTTTCTTTTTTTTCGTTAAGCCTTTATGAGAGGACTGGCCAGTTCTGAAAGCCCCATTCGAACAGTGTTCCCAAGCAAGCCTTTAGTCCTTAGGGCACTCAAACAGCAGCCTGCAGCTGCCCCCAAGTCTTTCAGTCTATAGTCCTGGCTGTCCGAAGCAGTGAGATCTCCAGCTCCACTGTGCACTCCTCTGTGTAGGGCTGACCTAGTTTCACATGCACACTGCTCTCTCCCTTTACTTCAGCCCTGAGCTTCCTCTTCCTTTTTCTTTTGCGCACCAACCCCTGGGGGCTTCTGGGAGTTGCAGTCTAAATTACCACTCATCACAGCTCTGCAGACTGCCCCCTGGTTCCTCCTCTTGTTATATACATTATATTCATTTTGATCATGCAAATTTGCCATCCTCTGCAACTGATGAATTTTCTGAATGGTCTAAAGAGATGTTAATTTAAACACTAAGGAAAGCTATCAACTTGGTAAGTGGGGACCAGAATGTAGACCCTGGAAAAATAGGCTATCATAAGAAGTAATAGGAAAAAACAGTCTGGATTTACAAAAGCATTTAGTTGGAGTTTGCTGCTCCAGCTGCTTGGTCATTACAAATATCTTCATGCAGCATCTTAGATTTTTTTTACACATGGAGGTAACCTGAAAATATGCCAGTGAATCAAATCACCTATACATCAATGCTAGAGAAATAGCATTTGGTAAACAAAGACTTTTCTGAATGAAGATTGAGGATCTGACCATCAATTATTAGCCCTTAGGAGAAAAAGTAAGTAATAATAAAGGTAAGGTATTTTGTAGGTCCACTGCAGTAGATTTATGCAGAATCAATAAAAAATATGTAACTTCTATCCAAAGTGGGTTTGAGACACTGCTAGTTGAATCTATCACTTTAGTGCTTATGTTTTGCTAGGCCAAGTAACTGCTGCTTTGTTGGCTGGTTTAAGTGATGCCAAACTGATGTTGGGCTTCAATAGATGGCATTCTTCATCAACTTGCATCCTTATCTCATAGTCAGAGTACAGATTGTCACACTGATCCTGTCTCTGATCTATGCCAATGGGGTATAATGCAAAGTCTCCACCATGATGACATATATTGTCACAAGTGAAAAAAGGAGAACAGTCTGAATACACTTTGAGATAAAATTAATTCTATTAGTTCAAAACCACCAATACCCATGGTTTTGATAAGTCAGGATTGAGCTGCACCACAGTTATATGAGAAGGTGATTGAACTGCTCAGGTCCCTTCCGACCCTACCAACTATGAAACTATGAAACTGTTGGAAAAATGAAGAAGGGCAAAAGAAAATGAGTTGGAGACTAAAAATGAGTTGGGAGACAGTAGAAGAAACTGAGTAGACAGATTCAAAGACTACATTATATAAGAGTACATAACAATACCTTAGGGCAAAATATGTGGAACCTAAGGATCATAAAGAGGGTAACACTACAAAGTACATTCACGCTAATCAGACTTTTTACAAAAAAAGTTTTCTGTGTGATTGAATATAATAAAAGATTGGGATGGCAGAGTCCTCACTAAACTTGATGATATCAAATATTGGTGGGAAGATTACAGTCTGTATACCTCATCAGAGCTACTCATAGTATAAGATGACAAGAAGAAGAGTATTGAGCCAGAGCCATTAATTCTGTGAGAGGAAGAAGTTCTTGCTCTTCTGAAAAATGAAGCCTAAGTAAGCAGCAGGGGTAGAAAGTGATTGGTGACTATGTAAGAATTGGTAGAAAGTGATTGGTGACAGCTGCATCGGTCTGAAGTGGAAAAAATTTGCAATGATGTATGGATGACTAGAAATTGACAGGATGAACTGATTTTTTGTCCTTACCAGAAATGAGGCTTTGTACCATCTCTTGATATCACATGGGAGCTACACTCTGCACCATATAATCCTGTGTTGCATGAAGTTAATGCTAGGACTACCACCACAACAGTCTGATTTCAGAGAAGGACTGAGGTATACATGATCAACTGCAAACATCCATCACATCACTGAAAAATACGGAGTACAATCATCCACTGAACATGTGTTTTATTGATTGCTTAAAAGTGTTTGATACCATCTGACAAGGCTCCCTTTGGAGAATAGTGGAAATGGAAAGGTGCTGTATGACAGATCATTGGGAGGTCAGCTGCTGAGTGCAAAGCTAACAGAGATTTGAGAAGACTTCTGGAAATTCTGCTTTGATATCACCATATTCAGACATGAATAAATGGATTGACTTGCTTAAGTTACAATAGTCAACAGAGTAAATTCCTTTAATAAATTCTGATGTATGCTGTATGGATCAGCTAATACGTACATTGAAATGTTTCTTGTAGCATTTTACCTCTTCTTACCAGTAGCTATTTTCATAGACCTTCATCAGTTCCTCATTGTTCCAACTATTTTTCTTATAATAAGACTATTATTTCACCCATTTTGTCATTAATTTAATTTCACTCATTTGTTAATGGACTTCCTTTCTCTTTAGTACTTATTTGCCTTCTGCTTTATCTATAAAAAGCCCTTTGTATCCCTCTTAGGCTCTTTGACTCATTCTGGGCTTGACTGTGATGTTACAATTTGCCTGAGTAAGTAGCAACTTTGTCACAGGAGCCAAGCACAGAATGATCTGCACCTAAGAGTCACAATTGCTCCTCTTCTCCCACTTATTTTGAGACAGGAGTATGTCACTACACCCTTTCTTGCTGTTTAAGAAAGGCTCCTTCTTGAGGCCCTTTGTGCATGTTTGTGCAATGAACTGGCTACTCTGATAAGCAAACTAAAGCAGAAAGCCTTGTAGAGCCAGTGCTGCTTACCCAGCCAACTTCCTTGCAGAGAATAGCTCCTGCTCTTTCTGCCAAATCACAGACACAATTTCAGCAGGGAACAGCAAAGACCTTAGGTCTACCTAAATTGCAAAGGGACTTACCATTTTTTGCAGGTTGATTGTTGCATAAAGTTCTCATTCTGTCATCATTGTCATTTCTAGCAGCTCTGTGCATTGGCACTGATTGGTGAAGAAGCCCGGGGGGTGGGGTGGAGGATGAGGGGGTGGTCACCATTTTGATTGCTGCCCTTCTTGCTGCCTTGCCAGCCAGCACCTTTTGTTGATTTTGCAGATTTCATTGACAATTCCATATTTTGCAGTTTCCATGAAATCTGTGAAACTGAATAAGTTCCTACTTATTTCTGCTCACTCTCCTGTGAACTAAGGGCTATGAGCTGAGTAAAGGCTGTGACAAGATAGTAGGACTGTGTGAAACAGCACTGTTTCATTTCAACTTCTGTGTCGACAGGACATTGTTTCATTTCAAGTTTCATTTCATTTTGAAAGCACTGTTCCATTTCGTTTCATCAAAACTGTTTCATTGTGTCAACTCTGTTTTGACATTTCACCCATAGGCTATAATGAGGAAGCACAAAACTGCTATAACTTTTTCATTTCTTGCCTGATTCATATGAAACTTACAGAAATGGTAGCCCTTTCTGAGGCAATGAAGCTTACCAAGCTTCAAGGAGATAGGTGCAGGGGCTTCTGGGAAACTGCACCTCAAGCTGCTGAAAAGCAAAACTTGTGACGTGTGATTTTGTGTGTGTGTTAAGGTGCAGTGGGGTGAGAACTGCAGGGATGGTAGCCCCTGCTGAGGCCATGAAGCCTGCCAAGTTTCAAGGAGATAGGTGCAGGGGTTTCTGGGGAAACTGCATCTCAAACTGTTTAGAGCAAAACTTGTGTCACTTGTAAGTGTGAAGGTACAGAGAAAGCTCAGTTCAAACAATGCTTTTTATGCTGTTTTTCTGTCCCTCCCCCAGAGCAGTGGAATTGGAAGGGACCTCAGAGAAGGATCACAGTCACTGGCCAGCTACACATGTTGATATGAGCAGTCCTTCCCTCCTTTTCCCCTCCCTCTCCTTAGTTTCTCTTCAGCTGCAAGCAAGTCCAGCTTCAAAACTCAAAATGTTTTGAAACTTTCAAAACGTTTTGACTGCCCTCATTTTGTTTCAAGGCTGTTTTGAAGCTTTTCGTTTAATTTCGATGTTGCTGTTTCAAGCTCGAAATGCATCGAAATAGCATTGAAATGAAACAGCCGGAGAAATTTCACACAGCCCTACAAGATAGCCTTTTTTTGGACTGCTTATTAGGGCTGTGCGAAGCTTCAGTCCCTGATTCAGTTCGGTGTCCGAATCTCTAAATCCAAACCAAATCAGGAGACCTTTTAATTCCTCCAAATTGAACTGGAACCCTCCAAATTGATTCAGAGACGTCAAGAAAGATTCGGCAAGTCAGACATAGACACAGTTTTAAATGTTTTTTCTACATATCTCTAGGTAGCAAGCCACTTGTGAATGCTGTGATGGTGGGGCTCATGGAGTGTCCCACTATTTACTTTCCTTCAATTTGATTCCATGAATTTATATCTTTATATTTAAGTGCCATATTAAAATGCTTACAATTATTGGTCTTGCAGTCCCTTGTAAATTTAATATTCTCATTTATTTCTCTATTAAGTAGATCCAGAGCAGTTTGTCCTGAGGTTGGTGTTTCTTCTCCCTGACAAATAAAGTATATTTTGTAGTCTGAGAACCTTCTTAACATATATATGTGGCTCTATTTGTTACCCAGCAGAGATATGTGAAGTCAGCATCTCCCCATACTGGCTTATACAGGCATAGGATATAATTATCCATTTTTGCTGAAGTTTGCTTTATACTGAGCATGTCTACATATCCATTTGATCTTGGATCAGTTTACTCGTGATAGTGCCAGCAGGTAGCTCCTGACCCCCAGAGGCAGGGTATAATGTCCCAGTCTCCAGGGCTGGCCTGCTGCCAGGGCAGAGGGACAATGTCCCCCTGCCCTGGCAGCAGGTAGCTCCTGGCCTTGGCTCCCTAATCAGGGGCAGGGGACTTGGGAAGAGCTGCAGGGGAAGGGCAGGTCCTAGCCTCCTGCCCCAGTGCACTGGTGGGGCAGCTGGCTGCTAGCTTACTGGTACCTGCCCCACTGGCAGATCGGGGCATAGGGTTGGGACCTGCCCCTGATCAGGGAAGGTTCCAGCCCCTGCCCTGCATGCAGGGCAGAAGCTGGAGAGCTTGGTTCCTGCTCAGCTCTGCAAGCATGGAGCTGGGTAGGGAACAAGCTGGGGTGCTTGTTCCCCACTCAGCTCTGTGAGTGCAGAGCTGGGTGGGGAAGAAGCTCCCCAGCCTGTTCCCCACCCAGCTCCATGCTTATGGAGCTGAGCAGGGAACAAGCTCCCCAGCATGTTCCCCGTGCAGCAATATGGTCATGGAGCTGGACAGGGAACAGGCTCCCTGGCCGCCACCAGCAGGGAGCTCCCAGAGCCAGCTCTGCACCAGGGGGCAAGTGCTGGGAGACCCTTCTCTCCCAGCGCCAGCTCCACCACCGCAGGGGTGGCACTGGGAAACCCTTACCTTCCAGTGCCAGTTCCACTACTGTGGAGTTGGCGCTGAGAGATAAGGATCTCCCAGTCCTGTTCCCCAATTGTGATGGTGGAGCAGGGGCTGGGAGATCAGGATCTCTCAGCCCTGGCTCCCTGATCATGATCTCAGAGCAGGGAGCTTGAAGTTCCCTGCTGCCAGGGCAGGGGGACATAGTCTCCACCCGGGCTCCAGTGATGAAGCCCACTCCATCAGCAGCCAGCTCCTGGGGCAGAGAGCAATCTCTTGTCCCATGGTGGATGGCTGACTGGGAGCAGATTTTCTCCCAGTCAGTCATCTACATGAGCGCTACTGCTCTGTTACTAATCGAAAGTAAATTTGCTACTTTCATTTGCAGGTAGCAAATTTACTCATGATTAGCGAGGTTTACTATATGGTAAGTATGTGCATGTGTAGATGCACTCACTTACTTTGCAGTAAACTATGCTACTGTACAGTTAAGCATCTTGTGTAGACAAGCCCACTGGATGCTTTTCCTTCTGCTGGATTTGTATATAGTATGTCAGTATGCACAGTCAGAGAGGTAGGAGGAGTTGTGGTATGCAGTTTGTAGTGTATTTTGTGTAAAATCCAGATTAGTGTACCGTGTTTCTTTATAAAACCAAACATTTTTCATTTATCTGAATAAAGCTTTAAGAAACATAAGGGAACAGTTAATTTATACAAGAAAGGACAGGTGAATCAAGAATTTTCTTTATTAATATATTATTAATCAAACATGGATAAACTAAAATATACAAAAATATTGGCGTAATAGATGAAAAGTTATGTTATAACTTCTGGAAAAGATGCACTAGCTTTCACTTGGTTATTCATGCATGTTACCAATAGTATTCGGTCAGTATTGGTACTGAATAGTCTAAAATTAATAAGCAGGTATTACATCTGAATACTATTAATTGCTTAAAATATATATTGCTTTCTACAAGTATAACTGCTTTTCCTCTCAGAGAGAAGGACCATAGAATCTCTAAGATCAAACCACCAAATTGTAATAAGACCGGCAGATAAAGGAAGAGCTATAGTTATTTTTACCTATGAAGACTGCATAAAAGAAGCCAACAGACAACTTTCTGACACCACTTACTGCAAAAAGCTAGAGGAAGATCCTACCACACTTTTTACCTTTAAACTCAATACTACCATCAAATAATTTCTTTCTGAACTACAAGAAAAACTACAGAACTTGATCCCCCAACTACCCAACCCGGGGACTTTTTACATGCTCCCTAAAATCCACAAACAAGGGAACCCTGGCAGACCTATCATATCAAACCATGGAACACTAACTGAGGAAATATCAGGTTTCATTGAATCAATCCTAAAACCTCTTGTCACCCAAAGTGTGAGTTTTGTCCAAGACATAACAGACTTTCTACGAAAAAACATATCTCAAAAACATAAACCACCCTTCTGGCAACATCTGCCTAGCCACTGTGAATGTTACCAGCTAATATACCAACATCCCACACCAGGATGGCACCCACACCTGCCTTACATATCTACAAGAGCAAGATTACAACTCAGAGTACAGACCCAAAGATATTACTGAACTTATATACTTCATCCTCACAAAACAGCTTCAATAACTAACAATTCCTCCAGGCCATGGGCACAGCTATGGTCTGAAGGAATAGTCCCACAATATGCCAACCTTTTTATGAGCCACCTGGAAGAAGAATTCCTCAAGGATTGCACCAAATTCATGGTATACTTAAAATATATCGATGACATCTTCATCATTTGGACTAAAACCTTGTGATCTGTGACTGAATTTCTGATGGAAATCAATAATCATCACCCTGCCATCAGACTAGCTTTTGAATAGTCAGCGCCAATGTTTTCTTTTCAGATACTATGATCACTATCCAAAATAGTAAAATACAAACAACCTGTGGCAGCTGAAAAGTATGTCTATGTGATAAAAGTGCTTG